TTCAACTGAAAATATACAGGTCACATACCCCCTTTGAAAATGGAAATCATCCTTTTCTCAAAGTCAGCTAACAAAACTGATATGAAATCATCTTCAAAAAATAAACTAATCAAACAAATTGAAAATTTTCAACCCTTTATCAGTTTTTTGACAGATATTCTTCCAAATGGAACCATCAATAATCAATACGATAGTTTTAACACCTCACTAACAATATACTCCTTAGACCTTACAAGCCCTATCAAACAAAATAACACATGTCCCTCTCCAATAAAACATAAATAAACAACGGGAAATATTAGGTCAACCATTTCACTTAATAGCAGATCACTCACGAAGACGTTTTTCAGACAACTTCGACAAACACCTTGAATATATAAAACATGTGTTTGAAAACACAACTAACATACATTTATCCTAACTAAAGCACATAATCGAATATATTTTTTCATTATAAGACCCACTCAAAACAATCCACTGGAAAAGACATTCTAAAAATCCGCGAAAAAAAATTATACCATCTCTTCTTTATCTTTAACTAAAAAACATGGTTGAAATTATAAATAATCTATTAAATTCAATAGAAAACGAAGCTACTAAACCTTTACAAAACGAAATAGTTACTATAGGAACAATACCAAACGAATCGAAAAATGGTTTATTCCAATCATTAAACCAGGAAAAAACAAACACTCTGGCATTGGATACAAACCAACAACACTTAAATACAATGACAAAAAGGTGGGAAAGTGGGTGTCACTCTGCCTCCATGATATTCCCAAACGCATAGTACTTTCTCTTTCGTATCTTGTCCACGGGTTTGTCTCTCTTAGGGCCACGGACTAAGATATACAGGACTGGACACGAGATGAATATTGTGGTTACGAAATGTATTACAACAGGCTGAGTTCGAGGGGATATTTTCCTTTTAGCATTACTAATATATTATACAAATTTCTAGTTCCATAAGTATCCACTAAGACTGTTGTACTACATTTCGTGGTCAACCACCCACACCCTCTAACCATGTCGTGTTCAGTCCTGTATATCTTAGTCCATGCTAAGCGCTCTCCATTAGTTAATAGATCTATGTCAACAACTACCAATTAAATCGGAGTAATAGTAGATGATAGAAATAATAAGAACAGGGCTGCCAACAAAATTTTAAAAAAATAGCGACCGATTTAAAAGTTGCGCCCATTATGGAACATCGTATATATATATGGGTACCAAATTAAATATAACTTTTTTACTTATACTTCTATTTTATTACGTATTATGTTCACTCCTATGTCTCAAGTTACATACTGTCTAAGTTTTTTATTTGAAAATATTTAGCATCTGATTGACCAGTGCTATAACGAAACATAAAATATAACGAATATACCTATCTACATTTTATTTTATATTCATTTAAATTGGCTATTAATTTTTTGAGAGTATAATTTAAATTATATACAAAATAGTAGTTAAAAAAATGTGGGCAAGTGGGTGTCGCTCTGCTGTAGAGTGGCAAGTGGATAACTGTAATAGATGGTGTTAAATTTTAATTCAATGATATATTATCATTGTATACAAAAACGATTCTGGGCGAAGAAGGTCAGTCAGCCCATGATACCTATACATATAATTAAGTATATTTGATGATATTATTGTGAATAAAGTAATTTATTTACCTATTTACCTACGTTGAACCTTAACAATTTATTGTTTTAAATTTTCAATTCTTGATAATTATTTTTTAAATTACGGATCAATCACTATAAGTGATATTGACAAAATCCCTTTTTAACGGTTATTTTAAATTTTATTCGTTTCTATGGTGATAAACAAAGCATTAGAACAAAAAATAGCTTAGCAGTGGGTATTTTGTTGGTTTTTCCCGTGACATTAAAAAACTATTGAGAAAATCGAAAAATTACCCATCTAAAGTACCATCTTGATGCAATTTTGCAAAAAGATAAGAAGCTTATGTTGGAATCGAAGCACTCCTTTTGGTAGAGATTTTGTTTACAGGATAAAAAAAAAACTACATTGTAAAATAACTAAAAATGAATTATTATAATTTTTAACACAATATGTTAACTTGTTTACATTATGGATATTGTTGTACTAATGTACTATAGATATTATTTATTAGTTAACAATGTATAAAATGTATAAGTCAATAATTTGTATATCTGTATATAGTAGATAAATATACTTCACAAACATTGTTTATTCAATTCAAAGACAAATCAATAAAAAAAAAAAAAAATGAGTCCATCAAGAAGTTAATAACAGCTGTGTGCCGATATATTACAATATTTTACTGCATCAAAATATATTCTCAATCTGCCCTTCCTCCGAGTAGATTTTAGATGTTTCATATCACTGCAAAGCTAATATTATTAATATAGGTACCTTGTAATAATAATTAACCTATGTATATTAATATTGATTTCGCAATGTATACTGTGTCTCTTGGCAACCTACGTGGTGGAACAGTTTGCTTAATAAAGTTGAGATATACTGATGTATTATTTACTCGTATATAATTATATATTAACCAACATATTTCCTATTACTATTTACTACATTATAATATATAGTTATTATATAATATAGTATTAAATTCACAACAATTGCAAAACTAGATTAAAATGGAAAAATTTGTTTGGGGAATTTTATATTATGTCAATTATTAGAAGATGCTAGGTGTCTAATAGTTATATAATAAATTTACCATTTAAATACCTATAGGTACAGTGTGAAATTTAAAAATGTATTTTTTATTAACAAAGCTTTAAATATAATAATAATTTCAACAAATAATCATCAAACTGCCATAAAAATGTTTATATATATTTTTTTTCTTGTACCTAACATAAATATAATAATAGTTTTAATAAATTATTATCATTATAATTGTAATTGCACTGTCATAAAAATTTATTATAGCCTTTAGGGACAGGTTGAAATTTAAAATAAATAATTCTAAAAAGAATTAAGATTGAAATATTATTTTTTTCTCAAAAAAATATATTCTAAAGTACGTTCAGCTGTGTAAGTCAGAGGTATAGGTAAACCCACCGGGGGTTCACAACGCTATTATATTTCTGGTTGTACACACATACAATATGCGCGCATATGGCGTGTTTGTATAGGTAGTCGTATAAATACTATTAAGATACTTTTGCACAGTTTGTAATGAAAAAATAAACTTTTATGTAAAAAACAAGCAAATTTAATTACTTTGTGTGAAAAAATTAGTTATTAAAATAATACATTTTTCTCATAAACTCGAGGTCCGTGCCTTGAAAGATTATATTTACAGGATTTGGCGTTCAACAAAAAGTTAAGAACCACCGGCGTAAGTTAATAAACATATTGTTATACAAAAAATTAGATATCTATTAAGATTTCACACACTATATATTGTAAGGTCCATATAACATAAAATTATCGACTTTTACTACACAGTCGATGTCGATTTTCGATCATTTGTATAATATTATACTAATATGCTATATCAAATTTAGTATATAGATAGCTGAGTACCAAATGTCTGGCATTTATGAGGAACGCAAGTAATACCTACCTAGTATAAAGTATTTATACAGCCAGGAAAAACCTATATCATCTGATTTAAAATTTTGAATTCTGCCGGCTTGATGTTTTAAATTAAGCCTGGGCCTGTTCTATTATAATATACTATAGTCAACTCGCGATAAATCGAATTTCAATGAACTGATAAAAAAAGGGTCGTTATATTGAGAGTTTGTTAAATCGAAATTTGTTTAATAACGAGATTTAAGTAAATAAAATGTTTATCAACACAAGTACGTCCCTATAAATTGATATTCGTTTTTGTAACAACACAAATATGTAAAATCATATACAAGAAATATGTATCCATGAGTCAGTAAATTTTATTTTTAGAACAAATCTACAATAATTCCCATATTTGCAACTCTATTCTAACAAAAATTATTTTTGTTCAAATAGAGTTGTTTGAACCTGCCCGTCCTAGTGTTCTACCCGCTCAATAGCAAAAGAACCTGAGTCGTGACTCGACCCTTATTATTATATCCCTTCCATATGGGTCAGGGCACTATTCATTTTTAAAGGTTAGAGTTCGGTCTGGTAAACATTTAAAAAAAAAATCAGTCTCGTCAACATAAAAAAATTGTTTGGCTTTTATATGTATTCACATAACGAGTCTTGAAGTTTCACCTTCCAGTCGTCACGGACACCGCGTACCTACCTATACTTATAGCGTTTTTCGTAGAGCTGTTATACCTACACTATAACCGACGTGTATCTTATCTAAATAGCGATAATGTACTAAGACACATGAATATCGAATGATAATCTTCAAAAAATTTCGCAAAAGGAAACATCAGAATTATAAAAATTCATTAAACCGAGAGAGCTTTGGTTATATTTCAAGGGCCGAGGGGTCCAAAATACGTACGTTGCACCAGCACCGCCCATTAAAAAATTTTGATTTTTATTTCACCAATAATTAGCACGCAATTAGCATGAATTTGCATGACTAATTTTGCAATTTGCACGATACCAGTGTCCCCGGAATCGCAAAAATCAGCGGGCGGTGCTGGCGAAACGTTTCGCCAGCACCACCCAACTAAAAAAAAGCAATTTTTTATAATTTTACATATCCATCATTTAGCACGCATTTAGCATGAATTTGCATGACTATCGCCGAAATCCGCACGATCGTAACTTTCGAGCAATATCGTCCCATACAATTTGGGCGTTTCGCCAGCACCACCCCAGAGTGAAATTTTTCAAATTTCTAAAACTAAACCACTCCATCATTTAGCACGCATTTAGCATGAATTTGCACGACTATCGCCGAAATCCGCACGATCGTAACTTTCGAGCAATATCGTCCCATACAATTTGGGCGTTTCGCCAGCACCGCCCCCGAGGGAAATTTTTCAAATTTCTAAAACTAAACCACTCCATCATTTAGCACGCATTTAGCATGAATTTGCATGACTATCGCAGATCTTCTCACAAATGAAATAACTCAAACTTCATATTTCGTTCCCAAATGCTTCGTAAGGATTGATGTCGCCCATTTCATAAAGATTTGTAGCAGATGGACACCAATAAAATCTGTTCCCCGAAGAGTAAAAGAAATTGTTCTCCGTTCTATTGGACTCTTAATAAAAAGCCAATCTATAGTAGAAATACGGTCATTGCTACTTTCGATGTTTGCGGTTTTTTCAAATGAAACTGCTGGTATATGCTTACGAACAAGACAGGAAACTCCATGTGAGACACACAAAAAAAAAATACTTGAAGCTACTTCTTGTGGATTTATAGAATTCGAACAACAGTTTAATGATGCAATAGCATTAGCAGAATCTGAGGACGAAGCGCGAACTTTGTTAGATGAATTATATGAAAACCAAAATGAGGGTCTGGGTAATTTTGAAAATCCATTCAAAGCATGGGCAGACAGTATATATAATGATAGTGAAAGTTTGGTAAAAGAAGGTTCAACCACAAACCCTCTTTATATTCCAGATTTGGTACCAATTTTAATAAAAATTATGAAATTTTTACCATTATGGTCAGGAGTGATGGTACCGATTTTTGGGTATGGAGATGAAATATCAAGTTCAGCAGCAGTGGAGTCAAGTTTTAGAAAACTAAAAACTGTCACTTTTAAACACATATCTTTACCTACTGAACTCGAATATTTTTTAGAAACCCATATAACATCTTTAAAAGGCGCAGCCCTAATCCGTACACCAAGTAATATTAATGTTCTCTCGTCACCAACTGTGGAATTGAATCAATGCAACTATGGTAATGAACATTCGTCTTCGTCATTTGATTGTACAGGGCAAAATCAATGGCCTGATAAAACATTGAACATAATTGAAAATAATAACAATAACGATGAGTGGTCTTCCTTAAGATTCATTGAAGATAATCAAAAGTCTCCTTCAGCATTATATGTTGTACGAGATACTGAAGTTTTCATAAATGAAGAATCAGATTATATACAGGAAAATGAAGATTGTGAAAATCCATGTATAAATGACCAAGAAAGTAAGGCAAGAGAAAGTTGGAACAGGAAAAGCAATAAAGAACGAAAAAGTAACTCTTATCTGGTTCCAAATCCCCAATTACGTTATTTACATATAAGCAATTTAAGGAATAAACAGTCCTTACCTATATTAAAAAACGGTTCTCGCTTTGAAGAATTAAAGAGTACTAAAAACAAAAATCGAAAAGAAAAAATTATATTGAGTAACACATGTGCATTCGATTCTTTGACATCACTGATGATGGTTTGTATATTTTTGTAAATATCTCAAATACTAACTATAAATAAAAGATTTCAATTTAAAAAAAATACACTTGTAGGGGAGGGACTTTGAAAAGTATCAATTCACGTATTATACCTAATCATGTTTTTACTTGTTTGGCATGCACAAATAATTAGTTGCAATAGTTTTTTTTTTATTAATTACTAACTTATTGTTTAAAATATTTATTTTCTAGGTTTCATACTGCGATAGTCAATTATATGCAAATAAAATTAATGACATAAGGCAAAATAGTTTTTTTTAATTTTATCATACAAATTGTGAAAAACGGAAAAATTTCACTCTGGGGCGGTGCTGGCGAAACGCTCAAATTGTATGCGACGATATTGCTCGAATGTTGTTACGATCGTGCGGATTTCGGCGATAGTCGTGCAAATTCATGCTAAATGCGTGCTAAATGATGGAGTGGTTTAGTTTTAGAAATTTGAAAAATTTCACTCTGGGGTGGTGCTGGCGAAACGCCCAAATTGTATGGGACGATATTGCTCGAAAGTTACGATCGTGCGGATTTCGGCGATAGTCGTGCAAATTCATGCTAAATGCGTGCTTAATGATGGAGTGGTTTAGTTTTAGAAATTTGAAAAATTTCACTCTGGGGTGGTGCTGGCGAAACGCCCAAATTGTATGGGACATTATTGCTCGAAAGTGACGATCGTGCGGATTTCGGCGATAGTCGTGCAAATTCATGCTAAATGCGTGCTTAATGATGGAGTGGTTTAGTTTTAGAAATTTGAAAAATTTCACTCTGGGGTGGTGCTGGCGAAACGCCCAAATGGTATGGGACGATATTGCTCGAAAGTTACGATCGTGCGGATTTCGGCGATAGTCTTGCAAATTCATGCTAAATGCGTGCTAAATGATGGAGTGGTTTAGTTTTAGAAATTTGAAAAATTTCACTCTGGGGTGGTGCTGGCGAAACGCCCAAATTGTATGTCACGATATTGCTCGAAAGTTACGATCGTGCGGATTTCGGCGATAGTCGTGCAAATTCATGCTAAATGCGTGCTAAATGATGGAGTGGTTTAGTTTTAGAAATTTGAAAAATTTCACTCTGGGGCGGTGCTGGCGAAACGCCCAAATTGTATGGGACGATATTGCTCGAAAGTTACGATCGTGCGGATTTCGGCGATAGTCGTGCAAATTCATGCTAAATGCGTGCTTAATGATGGAGTGGTTTAGTTTTAGAAATTTGAAAAATTTCACTCTGGGGTGGTGCTGGCGAAACGCCCAAATTGTATGGGACGATATTGCTCGAAAGTTACGATCGTGCGGATTTCGGCGATAGTCTTGCAAATTCATGCTAAATGCGTGCTAAATGATGGAGTGGTTTAGTTTTAGAAATTTGAAAAATTTCACTCTGGGGTGGTGCTGGCGAAACGCCCAAATTGTATGGGACGATATTGCTCGAAAGTTACGATCGTGCGGATTTCGGCGATAGTCATGCAAATTCATGCTAAATGCGTGCTAAATGATGGATATGTAAAATTATAAAAAATTGCTTTTTTTTAGTTGGGTGGTGCTGGCGAAACGTTTCGCCAGCACCGCCCGCTGATTTTTGCGATTCCGGGGACACTGGTATCGTGCAAATTGCAAAATTAGTCATGCAAATTCATGCTAATTGCGTGCTAATTATTGGTGAAATAAAAAATCAAAATTTTTTAATGGGCGGTGCTGGTGCAACGTACGTGTCCAAAATCCATTTCATTTTTTTTTAATACATCGAGAAAACAGAATTTTTATAATGATTTTTATTCAATTTAGATTTATTTATAAAATATGAATTTTTTGTGTCAAACATTTTTTATTTAAATTTTTTATCAAATATAGATTTTTTAAATTATGGATTTTTTACCAAATAAATTTTTATTCCATTTAGATTCTGAGTGGAACGATGAATGGTAATACAATGATGTGTGTTTTTATATTTTTTTTTATTCTTTTTGGGTCTGTGTACACGATAAGTAGTTGAAATAATGCTTCGATTTTCAACATCAATATATTCTTCGATTGGAAAGTGAATATTGTTGGTGCATTGGGGAGGTAAAATTTTAAAATTCCCAATAGTTTTCCAAAGCGAAGAGAAAAACAACATAAAAATTAAGGAAAACGGATTTTTACGCAAAATCGATTTTTCATAAAATTGACTTTGGTTTTTGGTCTAACTTTAAAACAAATGATCGCAGATACACGACATTTTCACTGGTTGTTTATATTTCCATTTTCAATACATGATACAGTTTTCAAAATATTTTGATTTGTTTTGAACTGTTTAGGGACATTTTCAGTTTCCCATTTTATTAGTTTTTTTTCTATGAATGTCAATAAAACTTTATTTGTTGAGTAAAAATACTTGAAAATTTAATAGAAAACTTCTACTATATTGTTACAATGACATTTGAAAAATATTAAAAATTCTTAGTTACAGTTTTTTTTTATTATCATTTAAAGTTCAAAAATTGACAAAATATGGAAAAATCCCGAAAATTAGCAAATTATTTTGAGTTAAGAATTCGTAAAAATTTTTCTTTTTAAATCTATGATTTTAAAATGCAATACAAGATTCCTTATAAGCTTATCTGCCTTTATCAAAAAAAAAATGTCTTTAAGAAAGTCAAATTAAATTTTTATGTGCGTTTGAAGTTAAAATTTTTACAACATTGGATATTCAGTAGCGATTTTCTAATTTTGTTCTAATTTAAAAACGAATAACTGTAGATACATGAAAATTTCGATGAACTTGTATTTTATCAATTCTTATACTTGATAACATTTTCAAAATATTTTGACTTGTTTTGAGATATTTACGGAAAATTTCACATTTCAATTTTTTTTTATTTTTTTTTCTGTGAATATCAATAAAGTTTTATCTATTTTGCCAAAAAGTTTATACATTTAATACAAGGCTCCTGATATATTGTTACAAAAGCAGTTGAAAAATATTAAAAATGCATTGGCAAAATTTTTTTATAAGCATTTAAAGATCGAGTTTTGACCAAATTTATCAAATTTAAAATTGAAAAATTATTTTGTAGTTAAAAATGTAGTACATTTTCAATTTTTATATCTAAGGACTGAAAATTCAAACAAAATTCCACGTAAGTAGCTTATTCTGTTACCAAAAAATATAAAAAATACATAAGCACAGTTTATTTTTATAGTCATTTTAAGTTCAAATTTGGGCGAAATTACATATTAAAAACCTAGAATAACTATTTTAGTAATTTTGTTGTGATTGTATAATATTATTCGTGGGTAATTGAAACTTCTAAAGTATACTATTATATATCTATTATAGTATCACGGTTAGTTGTTGATGTATAACAAGTTATACGTACCTAATGGCTATTGTGATATGATTAATTTGGAATTTATTATAGGTCAATTTTTTTTTTAATACCATTGATAAGTATATAATATCTCTTACACCTAGACTGACATACCGTCTCCGCTCAGAATCGTTTTTCTTATACAACGTATATCATTGAATTCAAATTTAATACCATCCATTATACAGTGACCTCCTTGTAACCTACTGTACAGCAGAACACCTTTTTTGTTATTAAATAGAGATTAATTATCAAATATTGATTTTTTTTTTATCAAATAACTATTAAATGAATATTTGATAAATAATGTCTTTCATAAAAAAAAATTAAATGGAATAAAAAACTTAAATATAAGAAATTTATTTTGTGAATAATCCATAATATTTAAAAAAAAATCTTTATTTGAAAAATATGTTAGTAAAAATCGGTATGATAATAATGTATATTGTATAAAAAATGAATACAAAAATATAATATCTATTATACACTCCAAGCCTTGCGTGGTGTAACGACACACACGAAATAGTAATATATAATATAATTAATATAAAACAAATAGGTAAACGATAATAGTTATAACAAACTTGGTGGCCATTTTATGGCATGCCCACACAGTATAATATATAAATTCAAGGGTTGCTTAGCACACACGATACAAAATAATAGTCGTAAATCGTAATAATTATTTATGCCTAAAATATATAAAACGATGATAACGCTGATTAACTCTTACAAATTATTATAATAATACAACATAATACAACAATACGCATTTAGGATCGTAGAGTACTGTTTGACGAACCTTATAATAAGCAATAATAATAATAAAAACAATAACAATAATGGTTTTACCATCAGCTAAACGAATTTCAAATTTTTTAGAGAGACACACAATTAGTCCAAGAAAAATTGCCAAATTTTGATGACAGTTTGAAGTCCAGTGGGAGAATGGGACCCATATGGGCTGCGAAGCCTACGTTATGGTATTTTTAGTTATAGGTAGTTACCTAGTATATTACAAACGTTGGGCCGGAGAAGAAGCAATGTGAGCAACAGTTCCTTCTCCGGCTCTCGATTAAACCGGAAAAAAAAAAAAAAAAAAAAAAAAAAAAGTATATTACAAACAAAATGTGTTTATTGTTATGTTTATGCCACTTATAGGTTACATGAGATATTTTTGAATAAATTACATACATTTTTAAAGTCCACAACTAGAATCAATAAAAAAATCTATATTTCATAAAAAATTTAAAAAAATTAATTTAATTGAATGACATTTGTTTACAGATTTTCTAAATTTGTTAAAAATTCATATTTAATAAAAATAATATGTATTGAATAATAAAAAAAATTATTTTATAACAAACAGTAAAAATATCACAATTATTCTGAAGTGTCTAATAATTCAAAATCAGCCAACGTATAGTTGATCGGATTGCTGTACTCGATTTGTCAAAGTCGAAGGCTGCGTGAACTTAGGCCCCTACTTTTGTTTTTTTGATTTTACGTTTTCTGCTAATTTACAAATTCCCAGATTTCATTTACAATTATTTACAATTGTTTGCAATAAATTTGAAAATGTTTGCACAAAGTCGGGGGGGGGGGGGCATCTTCATGTACGTGATACAAGGCACATAAGTAAGTACTACAATAATTGTTTGAGTACATTATATATAGGTATTACTTATATTATGATATCCATCATATAGATACAAGCTACCAGATACTTTAGATATATCTACATAGTAAATATGTAAGTAGGTATCTACATGAAATGTTAGACATGATAATGTTGTTTAGATATTTTTTGATAATATGAAATAAGATACTAAATAAACACATTGCGCAATTAAATGTATAAATTATACATCTATAATATAGGTGGGTAATGATTTTTATTATTATTACTATTTTAATT